TTGTTTACTAAATGTGAACATAACCATGAAAATTTTCTGTAGTCTAGAAGGTAGGGCAATGTTAAATAGAAAAGTTGGATTCTATAGAGTTTGCATAAAACTATGCAAGTTATTTCTTCTTTTATTGAGAAGCAGAGGATGCTGTGATTAAGAAATGAATTCAACAAGATTCATTTTGGTTTAGTACTTTAAATGAGTATTGTGTTCGAGCTATATAAAACATGTTTAAAATGTCAAACTTGTATTTGGGAATATCCAAGAAGGAAACTATTGGATTTATGGATTTCTGAAGTTACTTACATTCTTCTCTTGTCATGAATTGTACTGTTTCTCAATGTTGTGTCTATAAGTGGAAATCCACTACTAGATATAGCAAGTGATGAAAGAAATACACTTAAGAAAGGCTGCACATGGGGATTGTGTTAAAACTTTTATATGTGCTTGTCTTCCCTCACCAATAATAGAATCCTGGTTTGCTCTTAGAAGATGGGTATAGATCCTTCATATGCATGGGATTTTGAGGTTACTGGTTTAAAGCTAGGACGAGGAAGACTGACTTGCATTAATGATATTTTAGTATCTGTATCCCATTTATTTTATAGAATAAGAATGGATAAGAGGCTCATGGGATTGACATGAGGAGGTGGGGATGGCGCTATATTTCTGGGAGCGAACTCCAAACAAATATGAAGCGCATAGATACAAGTTATGCCTTTGAATGAAATACAGTTATGATTGAATCAACTTTTCCTTATTATTGTTACCTTTTAAAAAAGACTGTTTTAAAGGCAATATGCTTGCTTAAAGGCAATATGCTTGTTAAGATTTATCTTTGTGGCTCTTGAAGAATTTATGAGCTTGTATCAAAGATAGGGGTACGTTTTATTCTATTGTCCCAGCCTCAGGCTTGTTATCTTTTTCTGTTATTACCTTTTTTTTTTCGTGTGATAAAATTGGCAACTAGGACATCTCCACTCTCTTCCTCCCATTTCTTTTCTAGAGGTGTCATTTGTTTGTTTACTAGGTGCCATGGGGTTCAAGCAGTCAAACTTTCTGAACTTGGAATCTTTAGAAGGAAGTTTGCAGGACTAAATACATATGGATCATTTGTATCTTACTATTAGTTATTTTATATTTCTCCAGTTGTTACCTGATGCTGTCCAGTAATAACATTTATTTATGCAGATTGGTCAAGGCACTTACAGTAATGTTTATAGGGCCCGTGATCTTGATCAAAAGAAAATTGTTGCTCTGAAGAAAGTAAGGTTTGATAACTTGGAGCCTGAGAGTGTCCGCTTTATGGCGAGGGAAATTCATATTCTCCGTCGGCTCGATCATCCAAATGTCATAAAGCTGGAAGGTTTAGTTACATCAAGGATGTCTTGCAGCCTGTATCTTGTTTTTGAATACATGGAACATGATTTGGCTGGGCTAGCCTCACACCCGGGTCTGAAATTTTCAGAGCCCCAGGTACTTGTGGAAGGTTTTGCTTCATAAGTGCACTAATTGCATATTTGATGGTTCAGTATAACTGGAGTTACACGTGATGCATCCACTTATAGGTTTTCCTAACATTTTTTATCTTCGTTCTTTACTATATCTTTTAGCATGGAACCAATCTGGAAGTAAATGTTAGAATTGAACCATCAACTAATTTTTTTTTTTTGGCACTAAGTTTCTAGCAATGCATTCCTTATGAGTGCATTCTCTATTTTTTAAAGTCAAGTTTATGTGTTGGCAGGTTAAATGTTACATGCAGCAGCTTTTACTTGGACTTGATCATTGCCACAGCCGTGGTGTCCTACATCGTGACATAAAGGGATCCAACCTTCTAATTGACAACAATGGCATCTTAAAAATTGCAGATTTCGGTCTTGCAAGTTTTTTTGATCCCCATCAAAGTCAACCGCTGACTAGCCGTGTAGTGACTCTTTGGTATCGACCACCTGAACTCTTACTTGGGGCTACTTATTATGGGACTGCTGTGGATTTATGGAGTACCGGTTGCATACTCGCTGAACTGTATGCTGGCAAGCCTATTATGCCTGGAAGAACTGAGGTGCGTTCCTGGTTGGGTTAAGGAGAAGAAAAAAATTGATGAGAAGTTTCCAAATTTGATCTATGCTTGCCTGGTACAGCAATGATGCAAATCTCAGATGTATATATTCTGACTTAGTTCAGACCATTAGGGAAAAACTGAGGAGGATAATATGTCAGTAAAGCAGAAACCTGGACTGAATCTAGATGTAAATGAAACGATCGGACTGCTTCTTTCCACAAATAGACCTTGTTCTGTAACTTTCTTAGCTGGTTGATTAGAGAACAAATAACGAAATTTTCAGGAAGTTTTCTTGCACGACCTGAAAATTTCTTCTTGGTGGTTTCTTGTTTTATTTATTGAAGCATGTCCCAAGCATGTCCTTAGGTTTTTGGGTTGGCTTTCTGCATAGGACCTTGTAAGGATTTTATAAGTTTGACATTAGTTAGGAGTTGTAGTGTCTGATTTCAGGCTTCCTTTTCTCTTTTGAGATGTGGATGGATATTTTTCTGTCATGATTTATCACCTTTGTTCTATAATTGTCTGTCTTTTCAAGGTAGTTGAGCTGTTTGGAAAAAGAGTATGGTATTTCAGTTATATGAAATAGATTTATCAGAATCTACTTTTTCTTCCTATCAGGTGGAGCAGTTGCATAAAATTTTCAAGCTGTGTGGTTCACCTTCAGAGGATTATTGGAGAAAATCGAAGTTGCCTCATGCTACCATTTTTAAGCCTCAACAGCCTTATAGACGTTGTGTTGCAGAAACATTTAAGGAGTTCCCTGTACCTGCTTTAACGCTTATGGAAACCTTACTTTCAATAGATCCAGCTGATCGTGGAACTGCGGCTTCTGCTCTCAAGTGCGAGGTATGTTGTTTCAGTGAATTAAGTGAAATGATACTCTTCTTAACCAAAACAAAAAAGTGGAACAGAATTCTCCAGATGATTATCCATCCTTTTCTCTGTAATCCAATATGTTTTTGTGATCCCTTTCACTCAATCTCTCTCTCTCTCTCTCTTCCTTTATGTGTGTATGTGTGGTTGGGAGAGATGTCAAGGGGCTGTGGAGATGAGCTTAGTTGTAATCCCTTTTTATATTTCTTTTGCAAAAAATGTCAAAATGCACTATGTTTTTTCTACTATCAGTCCAAAATGTAAAATGTTCGTTTTGCACTCATCTCTTATTCTACTTCTGGTAGGGGTTTTCTGGACTTGCCAATTCTAGCTGTTGACCTTGGTTTTTGCTTTTATACCATAGGTTGGCTTAAGTTGATTATTTTGCACTCTTTGCTAAGTGTTCAAAAATGGATTTTTCATCACATAATACTCCTGGTAAGAATGTATAAGAGATATATAAATATCTCTTAACTTCAACTGATGGTTGGTGACAAAGAGGCAAATATGCAAATTTAGATTGTAGCATAGGTTGACTGCTCAATGAATAACTTGATTGAAGTCCATGGGAGTTAATGCTTGTGTTATAACCACTAAGATAAAAGGACATCTGTGGGAGAAAAAATTAGATTTCATGTTGGTTTTTAAATTCTATTTGCTATCATACTTACATTAATATTGTTGACACTACTGAAAATTATTATAATTTGCTGTTACATTTGTCTTTTGACTTGTTTTGGTTTATGTACCCAGTTCTTTACAACAAAACCCCTACCATGTGACCCTTTGAGCTTGCCGAAGTATCCTCCCAGCAAAGAGTTCGATGCAAAAATAAGAGATGAGGAAGCTAGAAGGTGCATATTATGATGATGATTGTAATACATGTTATACCTTAGCTCCTATCGGACTATTAGTTATTTTTCTAGTAATTATAAGGATTATAGAATAATATTGTAGCATTAAGAGGAATTTTTGTTTATGTTAGGAGTTACATATGCAATAGTGCTTTTTATTATTATTAAAATTCAGGGCCTGACCCTGTCAGCCACTGAAGATTAGAAGGTGAATTTTTTTGAGTGCTATCTTCTTATTCTCTCTTTCCATTTTGTCTAATTATGATCTGATCAATAGGAAATGAAAAGCTTAATGTGCTAAATAAAGGGCTGAGGCAAATAGGGGAGAGCAGAGATGTGAATCAGTAGCTCTGGAAGGCCTGTAGGTACTCTGCAGGGTGCCCTGCCGTTTATGAAAAGCCCTAAATCAAACAATAAAAGATGGCATCATAGTACAGGTTGTGTTCTTGTTTGGTAGTTTTGGGGAGTGGTTTTTGGGTATTTTCATGCCTAATCTCTAACTCCCTCATCTGCCCACCATTGTTTCACCACAAACCTGCCTCCAAATGCCATTACACAAAACTGTTTATCATAAGAATAGTCCAAAAAATAATTATTGAAATTTGGAGGTTCCCTTTTTATAAAATGGAGTTTAACACAGCAAGCCTTTCGAGATTGACTTTACGGCATTAGTTGAGTACTTTGAGGTAACTTGAATTTGGTTGTCATGTTGAGAGTTATGTCCACAGCTTTCTGTTTTCTCCTTTTTTTTTTCCTTCTCTCATTTACAAGTGCATGAATGAAAATGTCAATTGCCTAACATTTCAATAGTTGGTTCCTACAAAAGCTAGTTTTAGTTTGCACTAAGTTGTTGGGAGCTTATCCTGGGTTTATGATCTACTTCTGCTTTTCTTTGGTTGATGCTGAATGGTTAGTTCCTGTTCTTTTATGCTGCTACATTGTAAGTATTAATAATTTTATTTCTGTTCACATTGGTAGGCAAGGGCCAGCAGGAGGCAAGGGCCAGAGGCTTGAACTTGAAAGGAGAGGAACAAGGGAGTCTCGGGCTGTTCCAGCACCTGATGCCAATGCTGAGTTAGCTGTATCAATGCAGGTAATATACTGCTGCATTTGCAATTTTATCACTTGTATCTTCATTATATTGGTGTATTCCTCACGTAATTGCTGGATCTTGTTTGCCCATGCACCCTGGAAGTCCTGTAAGCCTTCATTTAGTCTTCAGTATTGATGTCTAATATAGCCAAGGGTAGGGTCTAGGTGTTTCCTTCTTTTTTCTTTCCTTAAATATGTTTTGATTGAAAAAATATAAAGAGCAGTGACCTATTCAAAAGGAAGAAAGAACTTGAATCCAGAAGAAATGAAAGTGGAGGAGATCAGAAGCTATCTCCTGAAATATGAACCATTCACTGGTTAATAGAAGAGAGTGTTGAAATAATTTGTAATAGCTGTTTAGATAAGAAATTTTAATTCAGTGTTGAGGAAATCTAGAACATCTTCCTCTCACATCAAGGACTGAACATAACTCTATTAAAAAAGCTCTTCCTTGTTTCTCCTCTGCCTCTGAGGTTCCCCTCCTATTGCAAGACGTAGCATTTGTTCAAACCAAACTGATAGTGCTTTACCTATTATCTTTTGGAAAGATAACCAATCATCCTGCATAAGGTACTGTTTGATTGGACCATATTGATATATTTTCTGTTCAAAAACTAAAAGTACAAATAAAACAAAAAAAAACAACTCAAATTTTGGATATGGCGTTGCACATGTTACAACCAGAAGCATCGCAATCTTCTGGTCATGATCACATCAGCACTACCATCATCTGGTCCTAGTGCATGCTTGGGATCAATCATGGTCATTAATGTGGATAACATTATTTAGTCTAGTCATGCTTGCAAGTGACATTGTTTGGTAATGACCAAATCTGGTTGTGCTTGTGACTGGTGGTCACCGCAGCTGGACAAGGCTGGTTTCCAATGCTTTTTTGCCCCCCCCCTGTCTGAGTTGCTACCAGTAATTGTGACCATTAGTTATGGGTGTTTTGAAATTTAAAAGTACTGAGGATATTTTATCCATGATGTTTTTATTTGTATAAAAAGAATATATTAGTTTAATTTAATTTGAGTAGAGAGGTTATGATTGTTTGACTTGTGCTTTGATAATAAATGCACCTAAACTGATTTAATTACTCTTGACACATTTAGGTGGCCTCATGTGTTTGTAAACTTTGAATATAACAATAGATTGGTGTTAAGGAAACTTATTGAGCTATTCTCTGAAAATTCTATTCGTTTTTCTTTATCCCTCCCTCTCCCTGAATGAAATTGTAGGCAATGCTGTGTCTAAAATGAAAAGGTATTCTCCACTCAAACTGCTTTTTAAAGCTGTGGGAATTTGAAGTTCAGGATCATACAAGACGAGTTAGATATTCTTTGCCAAGAATAGAAGATAGTTTATGTTTGGTTTTTTATTTTACAATTTGCTGATTGCCTGTTATAATTAGCCTGGTATTGATCAATTTTTTACTTTGTGAATGTCACATCTTTTCCTCACACATCTTTCTTTTTCCCCTTTGCACCTTATGTTTTTTCTTTTTCGTACAAAATTAATATTAATTGGATTGCTCATCTCATTCAGAAAAGGCAAGGCCATTCTAATTCTAAGAGCCGGAGTGAGAAGTTCAATCCTCATCCAGAAGAAGTTGCTTCTGGATTTCCAATAGATCCACCTAGACCATCTCAGGTGACAGAATCAAATGTAGATCCACCTCAGGGACATCCATATAAAAGAGCCTCCCATTCAGGACCACTGGCTCATCGAGCTGCATGGGCAAAGGCTGGCAAAAACCTAGACGATGCTTCAAAGATTTCGACTGGGGCTGACTTGTCTGCAATGTCAGGATTAGCCGCAGTGAGGAGGAGTTTATTATCTGAAGAACGCAGTGAGAGGTGTGGTTCTTCGCAAGGAGAAGCTCCTAAACTGATGACAAGGTTTCCTGGCTCCTTCAAGGAGACCTCAGAAACTTTGATACAACAGGATCAAAAGCACCACTGCCAGGGTTCTCATCAGAAGGATGATGGAAGAATCAGCAGTAAAGATCCAGTTCTTGTAAGTTATTGTAACCATACCTTCTTCTCCCATGATGAATTGTTTTTGTCAAATTCCTTGAGTAGGCAAAGATGTGGTATCCTTGTGTTCTATTGTCTTCTTCACCCAAAAAGTGCATTTATCCTAGTTAAATTTCCTTTTTTTGTTCTATCGATCAATGCCTTTTTTGAATGTTAGATATGTGATTATTGTTTATGTTTATTCCAGCTTGGTTATGGGTCAAAGGGACACAAAATTCACTACTCCGGACCATTGATAGTTCCATCAGGAAATATGGATCAGGTGCTTAAGGACCATGACCGCCAAATCCAAGAAGCTGTCAGGCGAGCACGCATCGACAAGGCAAAAATCAGAAAAGTTCAGGTGGAAGGGAACCAAATATCAACAAATTCATTATTTGTTTCTGGTCGGTGAGTTGAGATGAAATTAAACCCCGTGCATTGGGGGATAAAAAAAAGAGATTACTGGGGAGTTCACTGCAGAACTATTAGTACAGTGATTTTCTCTTGTGAAGTATGATTGATGGGGTTTTTGTATAGAGAATCTAAGTAGGAAGAGGGTTGTCTTGGTGAAGATGGCTGGTGGCAGTATTCAGTAAAAAGTTTATAGCTTAGAAATGCTTTTTTTTTTTTTTTTTTATTTAATGCAATTTATCATATCTATTCCTTACAACTGGCAACTGTAATTTCGAAATTTCCCAGCCCATTCTTGTAGAGCTTATTGTTAGTGATGAAAGTTATGTTGAAACCTGACAACGCGATAAAGAAGCAATATGATGTTGTATGTTCGTCCCAGAAGTTAGCATGATTTTTTCGTTTTGACATCTTTATCTCAAGAACGCAGGAATTCGATCATTCCTATCAGCTACCTCGAAGGTACTTGTTTATTTATTTATAATCTGTTACATAAAGAGACAATGTTAGGCAGGCGATTTCTGCACAAAGTTACTACATTGCTGTTCAACTGTTAGAAAATTACTATAAAAATATGATGTCTTTGAGAGAACATAGAATTTCTGGAAAGGTAAGATGTTGGGAATGAGCAGCAAGCAAAAATGGCGAAAGCCGACAGCCTTGTTTCCGATCTGAAGTCGAAGTACTCAAAACCCAGCATTCAATTCAATAACAACCATGTTGGTATGAACTGTCTGAGCTGAATTCTTGTCTGTCTCACTTGTTTGGTTGCCTGCAAAAACTGGGAATTTTTTGAAGAGCAATTATAGTTTGCTCTTTCCAAAAGTTGGAAGCTTGATGAAGAAACAAAGTATAGGGGATTGATTGTCTGCAACAGCATTTCAATTCCTCAATAAAACCTTGGAGGCCCATTAATTTGTTTATAGTGAAAAGGGTATTATGCATACATTTTTTTTTTTTTGGCTGGACATTGTTGCAAAGAAATTCTTTCTTGATATATATATATATACACACACACACACATATATATATATATGGTGGATTTTTTTTCAGCTACTTGGCAATTTGTTGAGAATCATAAAACATTAGGTTGAAGCTTTATATATATTTGGAACTTTGTAAGTATAGATGTTTATTGCTAATTGCAATTTCATTTGATCAAGTTTATTTAGATTTAAACAAAGTGTATTTCAAATTGAGTCAAAGTATCATTGAAGTAACTAATTGACTTTGTTTTTAACTTAGATTTTTATTTAAAAGTTGTATCATTCTCTTGTTATTCAAAAAAAATATATTAAAAATTAATGTAGAAATTATAATTTATTAATCTGAATTCAAATAAAATTTTATCTGTTAGTTAGATTTAATTCATATTTATTTTTTTAAAAGAATATTATGTAATTAATAAAAAAATTATTTTTTAAAAAAATTTAATTCATATTTATCTTTTAAATTGTGGTAAATTATTTTTTAAAAAATTAATTTAAACGTAAAATTATTTAAAAATATTTTTAAATTATTAATTTTTGAACGAGTGAAGTCAATGAAAATATAATTTTTTAACGGACTCGAAAAAACCCGGACAAAAACCATGCTAGGGTTTCTCTATAAACAAACCAAATTGTCTTAAATTAACTTCCAAATCCTCAATTTTTGATTATCAAATAAATAATTTCTATTGCATTGGAAATATAATGTTTTGAAATTTGTGGTGATGATACACTGAATTTCAAAACCCTATGGGAGATTAAATGTTAGAAGACAAAAATTTATCCAACCCAACAAAAAAAAAAAATAATAATAATAATAATTTTCAACTTTGAATTGAAATTTCTTAATTGCCCCCCATAATTTGTTTTAATTAATTAAATAGTGAGATTAGTGGGTTATAATTAAAAATTAAAGAGGCTAATGATTCTTTGTTATTAATACTCTCAATGCCACCTGTGACCACATTATTTAGACTTTAATGTGGTAATAATTATTACAACTTGTGTAATGATTCTATAGGTTATTGTAAACTAATTGATTAATTAAGAATAAGTTGTACGATTAATTAATCACAATTAAAGCCATAATTAATTGGATTAAAGAGAAATAAGTAAGAATGAAATTAAATTTTTTTTTAAAAAAAGTCACTTTTTTTTTTCACTAAATGGGTTTTAAAGTTCAAATTTTTGATTATTTTATGTGATGATCCACTTTTATAATTATATATAATTATATAAGTCCATAAAGATATTTTTATTATTAAAGTTGAACTTTTTAAACTTTTGAATCAAGTGGTAAGTTAAGAATATAATATATATATATATATATCACTTATGAAAATGTTACATTTTTTCTAAATTTAAATGTGTATATATACATATATGTATATATAAAAGATTGTCAACTTCTAAAAAAAATACTTTTCTTCCCATGCACGTAAAATCATTCAAGTGTCCTCTTACTACTAAAAGCATATATTATAACCATTATTATTATTTTTTTCTTTTTTCTTACAAAAAATTATTCATAAAAATAAAATTCAAAATAGAAAATTAATAAAAAATTATTATTATTATTATTGAGAATTCAAGAATTATTATTATTTTTTTTATAATTGAGACAAAAGTATTTTTTGATTTAATGAAATTTAATTAAGTAAATCCTTCAAGATTATGTTTGGTTAAATGTATATTTATTTATTAAAATGGTTCTTATTTTTTTTTTAAATTCTATATTAATTTTAATATGCATATGCATATATATATATATATATTTTAACAGTATACTTTATTTAAACTTTTATTCAAATAGTTTATTCTTATTTTTTTTACAAAGGTCAATGTTTAAATTGTATGAATTCAAA